CCTCTTGAAGATTAGGAAAAAATTAAAATAACTCATTATTGATTCTTTAGCCAGACTTTAAGCATTAAATTGAGACAAAAACGTACGTAATCTTTCATGCAAAGGTTGAACTTTTTTTTTTAAATTCCGTTAATGAGTTTTTGAGACAATGTATTTCAAATATTGTGCCACAAAACTTTAACGTTTTAAATATCCTTACCTGAAAGACCGTTACTACGGTTGTATTATTGCGGGGTAAATTTGAACTCATAAAAAGCAACACAATTTTACATCCATAGATGTTTAATTATTCTAAAATTAAATCATAAGGAATTATTCTAATTCTTTGCTTTGCGGATTATTACGTGTGAACTGACCCAAACCAGATTATACTTGATAATGTGGCCATGGATAAGTGTCATTCCTTAAATAGATAACTATAAAATATTCAAATTTTATGTTTGACTTCAAAGTTGCAAGTATCATTATTTAAAAGTTAACAATACGTGACTCATCTAAATATGAAATAAAAGTTTAAAGTGGAAGCCTCTATTGATTTTATTAATCACAGATAAAAGCAATTATGATCAATATTTTACGCATGTTTTTGTTCTACGGGCTGTTTCTCGGAGATGGCTTGGACAATCTTCATGAAACTTTCCTCAAAGACGATCACTGGCTGTAATTGTATTGTGTGGTCATTCAGTTTCAAAATGGCTACCATTGCCATGGAAACCTGCAAAAAAGCGACGAATTTTGTCCAAGAGTGTTGATCTCTCTGGTCCCTTGGACATTCGTCATGAAAGTTTATTGATTTAATAATTAGTATCTGTAATTGTGCGTGTTGCATTAAAAAATTGCAAATTGTCAATAGTTGCCATGGAAACAGGGGAAAAGAGAAAATTCTTTAACTTTAATTTTTAAATCAAAGCATCATAGGGACTGATACGAGTTGATGGTTGTCCAAGCTTAGCTAATGGGTATTGTTTTAGTGATGAAAAAATGAAAGTCTTATCCAGTTCGGGCGACATACAACCGTTCACGGTAGCTCAGTCGGTAGCGCGCTCGCTTCGTGAACGGGAGGTCGTGAGTTCGCATCTCGACCGCGACTGACCTAAGTCGATAAAAAATGGGTAGAAACTGTTCCTTCGCCATGCGCTCGGCACTTTGAAGTGAAAGTTGCGGGTCCTTCGGATGAGACCTTAAAAACCGAGGCCCCGTGTCAGCAGCAGGTGTTGGCACGATAAAGATCCCTCACTGCTCAATGGCCCCGAGTGCCGAGTAAAGGTCAAAATTTGAAGCCCTTCACCGGCATACGGTGACGTCTCCATATGAGTGAAAAATTCTCAAGAGGAACGTTAAACAATATACAATCAATCAATCAATCGGGCGACATACATGTACGCTATTGCTTGCAATAGCAGACGTTCTAGTTTTTTTTAATTACAGTTGTAATATTACCACATACATGTATATAACAGGAAGTTTAAAATACAACGCAAATGTTAACTACGATTTCTTCCGGGATAAAGAATTTAATTTTTTTTCAGATGAGGATTATCAGCATTGCATTTTTTATCAAAATTTATCAACGGGTAAGACTAAAATATGAATGTATTTAACATAATGAATGCTTGATGTAATTTGTGGTTGTGGTCGTCTTAAAATATGTAACATTTATTTGAAGAATAGATTATAAAATATGTATTTAAAAAAAAAATTAAAATTGTAGTTTCAACAATTAAATGTCAAAATTAAAAAAAAGAAAACAATCCATTTAAAACTGCTTTAACACAACCTAAATTCTTAAACAGCACTGTGATTGGGCGAATTTAAAACGGGGCAATATTGTTAGCAAGTGTAAAAGGGCGAAAAAAACATTGAGCTAAAATAACCTTGCATACAGTATTTTCATAAAAACTAGGGATGGCACTTTGTAACCGGTTAAATCGGTTGGAAAACGGTAATTGGTTAGGTAATCTGTAATCGATTAGTCATGAAAATATAATATTTAGTGGTATTTATGGCTCCCGATATTGAGATTGGGGGTAATTGTTCAGTTTGTGTAGTGTTACGTTTATTTAGACTAGACAAAGCTCAATCAGCTCAAACAAAAAAGCCTATGCCCTTGCACTTTTGGTGTAAATCACGAATACGCTTATCGTGCTAGCGATATTTTCCACATTCCTTGTCCCTGTGCAGCTTCAATGCTACTAGATAAATTCATATTCTATACAAATTGTATTTAATAAATTATTTTGTTTTAGTTTTAATGATTATTAAAAAATTAGCGACGATATTATATTTATTTAAGCACTTTTGTTATTTTAAACCAGTGAATCTCGTCCTCTTGATCACCTGTACTGCGTTATTTCAAGGCTGATGACGTCATATTTGACGAGTGGCTTTCTTCTATTACTCAAATGTATTGCTATCAAATATTGCAATTTTACAAGATTTTTATAAATAATTGATAAAATGAACAAATCTAAGATGTTATTTACGCATCACAATATCATTAAAGTCATATACGCTGTATGAACCCCGAATTTTGTGTGAAACAAAATGATTAATGATTTAAAACACATGAAGTGTAATGAAAAATAATTCTTTCCACAAACTTGTACTATAGATGTCGTTGTAATAACAAAACAATTAAACATATCTAGGAATTAAGAATTCAGTCTTTTCATGAATATTGATGAAGGAAGTGCGTAAACAGTAGGCCTATATATAGAAACACATGTCCACGGGATATCACAGACAACGAGGTATGTTGCATTTTGACAACAATTATTAATATAAGGTCAATATGCGTCATAACAGAGAAGATGGTTGATACTGAATACATTAAAAGATAAGTACCATTAAGAGAAAGACGCTTGCCATCCACGTCAAAAGTGAGTAGTATCTCAAACGGCCTACCTTGTTTTCTTTGTACGCCACGTGTATTTATCAATCTAAAAGTAGCGACGGCGTCACGTGATGGATTTATTTAAAAATAGCTATTTTTTTTCCTTGCAGGATAATAAATAATTATAATTTGATAACTTCGTAACGCGTTTAATTTTAATGGTGTAATTTACAGTATTTTCGTAACTTTTATTGATAAACAAATGATATCAATTTCCAATCGTATTTTAACTGGCGCAAGTTATAGCGTGTATACTTTTAATTAAATCTGTGGCTTGTTAAATTATCCGTGACGTCACAATTAACTTTCTATACAGTATACGAATTTGAACTCTGACCTTCCTTAACATAGCTGAGTTACTTTTATGTTCATCGGTCTTGGTTATTTCTTTAAAAGTGGATCAGGTGCATTCATTACGAAAATAAATGACTAAGGGCTGTTTATGACAAAGAAATCAGAAGTATACTGTTTCAAAGACTGGAAGATTGTCAACTTTCAGTATACAGAGTGCTTTAGTATAAGAGCTACATTATTCATATGCGGGAATGTCATTTTCAGTTTGTGAGTATATTATGTCGTAATTCGTTTTTTGATAAAACTTTTATAATATTGCTGTGTTTATATAGCGAGGAAAAACTTTTTTCTCAAATTCAAAAATTTAAGATTAACAGTACTCACTCTAGACGGATCTATTCTCTTTTCTGAAATGTGAAATAAGAAAACTTTAACGTTTATGTAGAAATGAAGTACTATAATTTTACATTGCCATTCAGTGGTCATGGATAAAAACAGTAAATTATCATTAACAATAATTTTTGAATTTAATCAAAGATGCTGCCATGGTAACTGAAATTGAAATTTCTGTACAATTATTTAAGATGCTATTCCGACAGTTGTTGTCTTGTTGCAGTTTACCCACAAAAAGAGACAATCAAGGATCCTTATTATATTTATATTTTCTTGCAAGTTTCAAGTTCAACTGCTACTTTTCATTGCCTTCGTTACAAGTTCAAACCAGTAGAGCTACACTCTCGACAGAGACTTCTGGTTTCTTGTTCATTGAAATTGAAATCTTAAAAGTTTTATATGTACGTGTAGTTTTCTGATCAAGACTGAAGGCAAATAAAATGTTGTTGTTTTTCTTTTTTATTTCTGTTGTTTTTAAAAACATTTTATCTATACGGAAAAAAACTTCTTGAAATTTAGAATTATAAGATTAGTCTGGACGCATTGCTGATAACCGATAAGCAATTATATATTTTATTGCCATGTGCTTTAGAAATACTTATCACTGTGCATTTGTTTTTACTTTTACTAAGTACCTAGTTTGTAAGGATAAAGTGACAGTGCATATGTCAATCAAACGCATACCAAAATAAGTAGTTTTAATAATGCACATTAAAAATTCTAAACACTCTTCTATTATATTTAGAAGTGAAATGCTCTAACAGTCGCATCAGTCAATATATTAAAGTGAAATCATTGGAAAATATTAACTTCAAATCTCGGTTCCAGACCCACCAATAAATATTGACAATTTACCTCGTTATGAATATTTGTTTGCATACCTTGTTTTGCTTACGTTGTTGCACTTTTAAGACTATATCTGTAAAAACAAAACAAGAAAACTTTAATGAAGCTTACGAAACAAGAATAATACGGGATGACATCAAATAAATCCTTTAAATCAACAAATCACAAATAAATTTATTGTATTTCCAACTAAGTTTTTATTCAAATTAAAGTTCCTTTTATATGTAACAATCTTGAGACTTACAATATGTAACCACTATAGTTTACATAAATTTTATAGGATTATATTTTAAATGAGTTTAGAATGAAGATATTCAAGATGCTTTTAAATATAATACTTGCGGTACATAACATTTTACTTGTTATTCACTGTTTTTCAACATTAGGGTTTGTATATTTAAGAGGCAATTTGAAATATACAGTCAATCCGGATGTGTTGTGGATGAAGAGTTGTTAAGTTTCTGAATATAAACAAGAAGAAGGTACTGATTGTTTGCATAAAACAAGGATGAAATTATATATGCTTAGTGGTTACATTTCGACGACTTTCTCATAATTGCCGAGTACAAACAATTTGTTCCTTAACACAATGACTTACTCTTTATTATTTTTACATTTTTTTTAAATTTAGATTAGGAAGGATGTGTCAAAATGAAAAAGTGTAAATCATCGCTGCATTGCCTGTTCTGTTTATCACTTCTGGTATTGAATGGTAAGTATACTTTTAACAATGTGAAGTAAAGTAGCATTTTGTACATTTGAGGATATTTATATAAAAGAAAAGATGCGTTATCCGAAAAAGCTCTACTTTTCATAAGAGGATTATCTAATACGAAAGGCATTTTAACGAGATAATTTTGTATCCCTTTGTAACAAACGAATTATCTTATCATGAGATATATAGCCGCCTCATGCTATATGCTATGGCATATCAACATTGATTTAACGTTGAATCAACGTTGCCCTTAAACCTTGAATTTACGTTAAAATTTGATTACATATAAAAATTGAAGCAATTAATGTTGAAACTTTAGCGTTGTTTCAACGTCAAATATTTGGCATAATACTGATGTCATGATAATGTCAAAAATATGGATATCGAAGTTTTATTACATTTTCATGGATACACGCTTGTTTTATTTATTATGACACACTGTCAAGTGTGTGCAAAATATTTATGTTTAGACCATAATGGATTTAATTTTAAAACTCAAACATTTACAATAGTAAACGAGCGTTATCTCGTAAAGTTCATCTTCAACGTTGTTTCCACAAATATCAATGTTGAACAAACGTTGAGCATTGATTAACCATCAATTGTTTCTGGGAAATATAAAGTAAACAATGGAAATGAGTTTTTCATCAAACCGCTTCGCTATGTGTAAAAAAAACATTTCTTTTTAAAAGATGGAGAATTGAAATATTTTGAAAACTTATAAATGAAAATCGAAATGTCAATTGCATACCAATAGTTCTTTATGATTTTAAGAGTTTTTGTAGGCTATATAACAAATAAAATTAAAATTTTGACACATGTTGACACATATAAAAAAAAATGTGATTTTACTTTAAGAATATAAAACACATAAGTTCTGTGCAGTAAATATTTTTTTTGTGAAATATCACCCGTCGTCAAAATTTGACTGAATTGCTACGCTGGAGGTTCTGTTTTTTTTTTCTAGTAAAAGTTATAAAGTTTTATATATCAAAAATTTTCTTCCGACCTATTTGATTCAATGAATTTACAAGAAAGTAAAATATATTATGAAATAATGACTGAGCATGCAGGCTAAAAATCTAATTAAGAGAAAATATCAACAAAATGAGAACAAATTGTGACAGTAACCTTCTCCCATGGAAAGTGATAAATAAAAATAAAATTGAAAATCTAAAATACTGAGGACGAGGGAATTTATTCGGAAACGTATAGGTACATGTATTTACACTTGTGTGAATTAAACCTGTACCTTGTCTTAGTTGATGTTCTTACTAGGGATGTCAACAAATATTCAAATTTTAGGTGCATATCGACTAAAATTTCTATTGTCGCTTATTCGTTAAAAATATATTTCATTAAAGTGACTTTATGAATTTAAGGCAAACTGGGGTCAGTTATTTTAAGAGCATTTATGACAGTAATTAAATAACGTGTTTTCATTTTGTGATAATAATTTCATACAATCATTGATTGTGATTACAAATTTTCATATTTTAACATTTATCCCAAGCTCTCGCTCTCTCTTTGTGAAATACACTCTTTAAATGTTTACTGTATTGTCAAAAATCACTGAGGGCATGGTTTTATTACATTGGCTTCAATTATGGGGTACATGTCCAATGTTATGTAAAGAAAGGGCAAATACGAGCGTTTGATATTAATTTGCATGAAAGTAATATATAATTTTGAAATTAAATACACTCGACATGATGTACAGTTTTATTGTAGACGACTGAAATTCTATGTATAATGTGAACAAATTGTGAGAGTTAAATATAATTTTAAACTAGTTTGCAAAAGTCAAACAGAAAATCTAAAATATTATTAAAATTTAACGTATATGTACATGTATTTACACTTGTGTGAACTATACGACTTAGCTTTCCAAGTAAAATTGACATCCCTACATGTAATAATATGTTATTTCATTATATATTTTTACACATATTTTGAATTGTATCATTTAATGTTTTTTGCAAAATTCACAGTACCGTCTTTAATTTGATTGATTTTTTTGCTTTAAACTATTTACAATTAAAAAGATATAGATAAAAGATATTCATTTAATTTATTATTACACAGCAAGAGATTTAATCATTTCAGCCTCATGAGGTCAAATTTACATGTACGGTTTCTCTGTCCCGAAAAGTGACATTCAAAATTGTGAGGTAAAGGGTTTAAACTTATGATAGTTTGGGCCTGATTAAATAATTATTACCGTTTATTTTTTGTATTTTTTTGTTTTGGTTCAGTTGTAATCTCGGCTTACGGGTACCCTGCATTACAGTGGCTGGAATGGAAAAATTTTATAAAACTCTAAGTGAAATAAAAATGTATTGAACTGATACCAAAGTATAGAACTTGGTATTTTGTCCATAGGGATATGGGTTATAAGCTAATTGTTTATACACGTAATAAGCAAATAACTACAATCATGACATTGCATGGCTATGCTGTTCCAGGGTGCAACTTTCTAAAATTGGAATATTTGGGCCACGGGTGACAAGTACTGGTTGGGGTACGGGCTGTGTTTGATTAAACAGTCAAATTGCAATAATTCTTTAAAAACCAAAAAAAAAAAAAAAAACTGTGCACATGTATGTGTGAATAAAGATAAAGTATAGTTATGTTGAGCAAGGTGGTCAAATTTATGATTGTATATGGCTTCTGGAACTGATGTTCAAGGGTATGGGGCGGATATCTTTGAACATATCGTAAATATGCATTTAATTATTTGAAAATGTCTTCTTTTGTACTAAATATTCTAGCAGATACAGATGAAATAAGAAATTTTGATAGCTACATGAAGTATAAAATGTATTTTTTACAGCTTTAATGGTCGAGTGGATTTGTAATTTAATGCGAGGGGAATAAATATTCAATAAAATATTAAATGTCATTTTTAGACCGACAAAAGGTCAATAAGTGAAAAGGATTGTACTGAATGTACCTTGGAAACACTGTATTTTATGCATAAGCATTATTGTAATATTTGATGATAGTGATGGAGTGTAGTTAGCACTAAACATACCTGTCAGGTCAGTCTCTGAGTTGTTGATGTTTACTCATCTTGATATTGTGTTGAACCCTGATCATCCGGATTCCCTTTCCTTTTGTATATTTTATATATTAACCATTCCATGGTTTAAAGGTCCATATTAGAAACTGGTCAATATATGTACCAATTATCAACAGGAGAGAGAGAATGAATACACTGTCTTAATAGTTTCTAAAGAACCCTCAGAGTATGACATTTTATTAAATTAAAAAAGATGACATAATTTTTCATTTCAAGATAAAAAATGTTTATTTTTATTTTTAGTTGATATCATAAGTATGTATTGGAATTGGTTTGAGGCCCAGCAATATTGCAGTAAAAACAATGACACATTAGAATATAACGTTTCTTCAAATTCAACAGTGGATTTTTGGTCTGGTGTATACAAACGGCATTCATTGTGGATAAAAATGCTGGGTAAGCTGTATTTGAGAGATAAAGAAAGAGAGGAGGTTTTATTAATATCTGCAAATGTCAAAATCAAAATGCTAAATGCATTTACCAATTCTTTTTATATGGAAAGATTTCAGGTAAGGTTCATTTTATTTAGGCTGTTATGATTCAAACGCAATACAAGACTACGAAGAATTTCATATGCACTATTTGTCAGCTGGATTTTGTCAAGAAATGTGTACAACTGTAAATTCAACCATTTTTGGAATTAAGGTATAAGTAGGATTTACAGAGAATATAATCCCAATTTTTCTATGAGGTCATTTTGAAATATGTTTGCTTGCTCTTTCCCGACAACTCAGGTTGGTATGTAAGTGGCAAAATATTTTTTTATCAAAAAAATTACCATATATGTTGACCAAATGGGAAAATTTCAAAGAAGCATATAAACTCCCAGTTTTGAATTCTGGAGATATTATCCCATTAATTTAGGTAAATGAAGAAGTGGTTAAAGATACGTCTGAGAACTGAGATACAAACTGAGAAAATTTTATGTTTTATTGCAGAAAAATAAATGTGTGTGCTTTAAAAGTCCAGTTTTGGCTGGATCGATTCCATCCAACTTCTGTAATGAATCATGCAATCAAGATCAAGACGCAAGTGTCGTTCAATTCTCAGAATGCGGTGGATCTAACGCCTACACTTTGTACATTGCAGGTAAATAACAATACTGAAGAATGGTGATTAACTTGATCTATGTAGCAAACTTTGCACAATATGTTTGTTTTGCACTTATGCCGTAGCGAATTTTGTGCAACAATCAGGAATATCATAAATCTCCGTAACATGTTCAACACAGTCATGTGACATTACAAAAATGATTTAAAATAAAACCTGATTAAACTATTATTTCAAGTTGACTGCATTTTCAAACAAGGATTACATATTAAAATAAAAATCTAGCTTAAAATATAATGTATATTTTGAAGACATTTTAAGCTTTCGCACAGCCTTATAATAACTGCAAAATATCGCATGCACGTATTGTAATATTTTTGTAATGTATAAAAATTAACCTTTTACTATATATTTATTTCTTCAGCCAGTTGATAGCAACTTGATTGTGTGGCTTACCGCATTTTTCTTTGTACATAATTAACACTGAATAATTACCTTTTTTAAACAAAACATTTTTTTAGTTAGAGCTTAATGCTTAAAACTTGTTTATACTGATGAATGGGTCTTTTTTAATATTCATATATTTTTGGATAATACTTATCTTTGTCTTACACCATGCTTATTCAATATAGATAAATTGCTTTTATTACCAGTATAAAAGACCCTTTGTCGATATATTTGCAAATAATATTAAGTGTAATTTGTGTAATAATTACTTCATTAGGGTAGAGTGTGTTCTTTTTAATCAAGATTGTGGTTCCTTCGAGAATGTTGTCGCAAAATTATTGAATAATATAAGCACTTCGTAAAGTATTGCCCCACAGTTACATGTAAATTTAAAATGATGGAGAACCCTGGGTCAATTAACAGAAAAGCATATGTTGTTCTATAAAGTTTATATTTATTGCCTTGTTAAAGTAATATGTTTGTATAATAATTTCAGATTTGATTAAAATATTTTAAATACTTAAATTTGTAAGTTCCTTTTTTCTTTCTTTCAAGTCATTATTTTCCTTAAAATCTTTGCACTCAATGTGGAGAGATCTGTCTGAAAGTATATATTCATACAGATTAGATTTAGTTGTTGGGGTAAATCGAGGAGGTTGTAAATAGTCAATGGTCATTTCTTGTTCATATAGATACACCAGAGTCAACAAATTTTACATCAGCTGAATCTGATAGAAAATCAGCCTGTCTTGCAATCAACTGTGGTACTAACAAGACGTTTTCCATATCTTCTGGTTGTTCTGAGTCATATTCCGGAGTCTGTGAAGATAAAGGTAACCTTTTTTTCACATGAAGAAATTCTATGCACTTTTTTGTTTCCGATGTTTTTTGAAAATTGAAAATTTGAGAGAGCTGAAAAATTTGACATATACTCAGCACTCAGAGACATTCAGTAGTGAGGGATACTTTTCGTTTCAGCATCTACAGCGACACAGTACCTTGTTGTATAAAGTCCGGTCTCTACGTCTCACAGTAGGATTCGAACCCGCAATGTTAGGATTACCTACTTACTTCGCGAATCTGGAACAGAAGCTCTTTCACTGAGACACACAGGCGATTAAGCTCTTTAAATTCGTGAAAGCTGTTTCGTAGAAGCCCACTAAAAATATTAATCGTCTTTTTTATCCATTAACTATTTTTAGTCGTAATAGCTTTTAAATTATATTTTCAATCTAAAACAGTCTTCATATTTCATTTCCAATATTTTGTTTCTGTCTCTTTTGAAGGATATCTCGGCTGTTTTGAAGACCAGCCGTCAAGAATTTTGACGGATGCGCTTACACGTTCGAATGAAATGAATGTAACAGAGTGTAAAAGAATATGCTCAGAAAAGAAAACAAGATACTATGGTGTTGAGGTTACTAAATCTAATACATACATAATCTAATACATTCAAAGTTAAGGTAGGCAAAAGACATCAGAAGAAATACATGCAATTTTATTCTACTTTATAGAATTCAGATGAATGCTTTTGTGGAAACGCACTTAGAACAAGAGAAGAAAAGCCTGACGGCGAATGCAACAAGAAATGCAGTGGAGATAATAGTCAAATTTGTGGTGGACGGTGGAGAATCAATATCTACAGAAATCCATACTACAAAATAGGTTGCTGTACAAATATTTTACTGCATATAGGCCCATAGACCGCAAGGAAATGGGGGTTATCTTTCAGTAGATGGTGGTTCCCCTCATTTTTTGATTGTTTAGGACTTAGGGATGGGGCAGGGGCTTTCATATTTTTATTTAGATAAAACTGTTGAAACAGGCCTGTCGACGGCATACTGAAACTTCTTTAATTATGCATCTTTAGTTTGAATTAAACGGTAGCAGCTAGGTTGTGGGTGCCCATAGGAAATATGTCTTAAAATATTCCGAGAAAATCAATATAATTTTGATATCTTTTTTATTAGCATGAGTTTATATTTAATGGGAATTGCACTAATGCATATGTATGTATAGGTTCTCAACCGAGTTCGACCAAAGTGACTTTACGTACAGCAGCTGTATGTCACGTGACATGGTTAAAATTAGAAAAAAAGATATGTACGGATACAAAGATCGTAAAAGTTCAACAATATACAGATAATTTTTCACCAAGAAATTGATTGTGTTTTCTTTAAGACAAATTTCTTAACCTGAAAAGTGCTGGGAGCAACTTTCCCTTGCACGATAATTATATAAAATGAAGCCGTCTCTTTAAAAACCTCGTGCATTTACTCTATACGCATTAAAATAATGTAAAAAAAATTATAGACCAAATCAACAGCGCACAACTTGCTCCAAGCCCTTTTCAAAATATTAGAGACAATAGGTACATGTGTACAAATTATTATAATTTATAGGTAAGCGGATATCGTTGAACTTTTGAGATTTTCGAGGGGTGTGTGCATGTAATTGTAAAACGTTTGTGTATAAAAGTGAATGACTGCGGCTCTATAAGAGACCTATTCGTTATCAATTCAATAAGACTTTAAAATATTAATTAATGCATTCAAAAATATGACTCAATTTTAGTTAGATTACGCTTATTTAGTTTTAAATTTCACATTTACAAGTTGCAATTATAGCTTGATATGACGCATCAAGTGCAGAGAAACTGCGTGCCAAACTAGTCTGTCAGTATCTATCTGTACAGCGAGATCAAGTTGGCTTTAATTCTACATTGTAATGTCAAGATAATTTGCACATGAATTTATGTTTACAATAATTAGGAGAAATCACTGTAGGTAAAAGTGTATGAAAGGGAAAATAATTATTTATTCGCCGATATTGATTTGTGCAGTTTCATCAAGACGTCAAAATCGATCTCCCGAAGCTTTGCATAGACTGATCTACCTTTTGCGGTCCTTAAAAGCTGCAGTTTTAAGATAATCTCTATAGTAAATCATTTTTCTCATATATTTCAAGTATATTCTCTGTTAAAACAATTAAATACATGTTTGCAGCGATATACTTTCAGGTTGCTCTTGATAACATTTTTTTTTATGATTCGGCTAAAGGTATTTAATTGAATCTTTCAGGATCAAATTTTTCATTCCCATTCTTCTCATACATATAGAAATTTTTTTGCTGAAAATTCATATTGATGTTGTTTTTTTTTTCAATTTTCAATGATTTTCTTCCCTGCGTATTTTTTAAATTAAACTCATGACAACATTGTATTTTCAAATCAAAATTTAGTTTCCCTTTGCATTATATGACCTGGTAAATTCTAACGTCCGTTTTACACCGTCCCAATTGAAGATGTCTGCATGTATTGCAATCAGTGAGTATTTAAATCAACCTCCTCTGTATGTTTATCTTGTTAATACATCTTTCAATTAAAAAAAAAAGATTTTTCAAAAAAAATAAATGACCATTGCCAAATAAATGAAAGAGTCTTGAGTACAAATGTAATGCAAATAAATCGTTTAGTGAACCAAGCTTTATTCAAGTTTCGAATTCCCTGATCTCTTTTTCTGCATAATATTAAAATAGTACCGTAATTCTGTATTTATAACGATATAAGACTACAAACTATTACCTGCGTTACGGAATATGACGTCATCTTTATAACGTTTCATTTCTTTAAATACTTATAACGGTTTTTGTACTAATAGTAATGTAGTTTTTAAAAGAAGAAATATTACCTTTAAATTATAAGTTTTATTGCAATTACAACTAAACTGATTATAATTTTTCCGACGTTATTATTGTACACCAAATGAAATTTATTGCAGCGAATAAGTCGTAACAGATTTTTTTCTAGATTTACTTTTCAGTGGCCAGAAAAGCTTATGCTGTAGTAAGGTTACGTCATCCGGCAATCTGCACAGGATGAAATTAAACCATTCAGTCGACGGAATGGTAACTGAATGTCCACTGAATGATCACTGAAAGGTCACTGAAAAGTACCTTACCCGTGCCTTTTCTGTGATCATTCACATGATTCAGCTACGATTCAGTCGACTGAATGGCACATACAGTGACCTTTCAGTTATCAATCAGTCGCATCCTTTTATTGGATATTCAGCTTCGCAGCACTGTTATGGCCTACTATGAGAAATCAACGGAAAAAAGCATGCAAAAAATGGGGACCTTTTTAAAACTGAATTTATTTTAATTAAGCTGTTTTATTATCACAGAACACAGATACTACTTGAAATAGCATAGTATAACCCACTTTGTGCTGTATGAGGTTTGGTCCCATCGATGGACAGTCACGTGATGAAATTTCTATATTGCAAGGGCATACTTTAGTTGAAATAAAAAATTCAAGTAATTATTTATTTCTGCATACTTTGTAGTTTCTGAAAAGTGCTGCTGCTTTGAATAGAATTTGCGTTTTAATAGTTAAATTTTCAGGTAAATAAGCCAGTGTCGAAAAATGTTTAACTTTCACCAAATATTTTGTGTACTTATAAAATCACGCTAAGAAAGCAGCAGCACTTTTCAAGTTAAGAAAAATATCCTTAATCTATATTCAAAAAATGGTTAAGATTTATTAAGTGTATGCTCTTGCAAAGTGCGATTTTATGAGGCATCTTGATGTAAAATATGGTTACGTAACCTGTACATAAAAACACGACATAATTAATAAAATACATTCTCCTGATAGTTAATTAATAATCGCACTAAACAAAGGATATGCATTGGTATTAATCGGCTATTTAAAACCCGTAAATGATATGCCGTTTAATAATAAAACGCATTTTTCATTGTTAAAAAAATCCTCAATCTGCCTCTCACAGCACATGAAATACGTCATTTTTACCAAAATGACGTCATGTTTACAAGTTCATCGCGATCAGTGCTTTGTCTATATCCAGCTCCATGGGATTTAACTAACAAGTTTTTTTAAATGCATTGATAAGATTTTTTTGTTGTTAATTATGCTAATTCAGTTAAAAAATGCAAACTATTTCATTTTCAGGTATAACGAGAAATACATAAAAGTCATATTTTTGTGTGACGTCACAGCAAACTTTTCCCGTATAAATTAGGCCCCGCCCCCTTATTCAAGCCTTATCAATGCTGCGTATTTTTTTTTTTTACATAAACATCCTGGTATGACACAATAATTATTACATTTATCTAATTTCGAATAAAAAATAGGATAAAAAATTAATCCAAGAAAAAAAATTGCCAACGCCCAGATTCGAATCCTGGTCTCTAGCATGAGAGTCTGTGACCTTATTAATTATGCTACGACTTCTCTTTGATTATTAGAGACTTAAAATCGATCAATGTGTAAAAAATTTTACAACACCGGTTCACCTGAAAAATCGAGGATTGCAATGTGTATATATCTTGTATATAGTTTGAATATTCTATGTTAATTGCGCACATCACTTATCTGGATGATGACACTTATCAGCTGTGACGGGCAACTGTTCCTGTGTCTAAGATTTGAGATCGTTGTAAATTATCTAATCTAGAAAATTAGTAAAATGATTTTAAAACAATTTCATTCAAAAGGTTTAAATCTATATACATGTAATTAAGTTTCTTCCACGAGGGGCTTTTATAAATCAAGTTAATTTATTTAAAAACAATGTCTTTCAAACGCTAAAATATGCTGAGGTTTTGACAAAAGAACTATATGCGGTATATTGCATATATTTGCCCCCACAAAAGTCAAATTTTGAAAACTTACTGAAATGTGCTGAATTCAATAAAATGTATGAGAAATATAAGATAAAAGAAAATAATATTATAGTTTCAAAGCAGTGTATTTACAATTTTTGTTCTTATGACGTCACAAACTAGTCCGATTTTATATCCTTTTTCAGAAAGAAGACAAAAATGGACAAAATTTCAACAGTATTAGCTTTAAAATTTATAGAGCGCATGTGTGTTCAGGAACAATATTGACATATTTCATTGATATTATCATTCTACACATTATATCAATATATCAATCCTGAACACACATGCGCTCGGTGACTTTTAGTTAAATTATCGACGAAAAATGTACATTTTTCTGTAAAATTCATAAAAAACTGAAATTTACGTCAAGTTTGTGACGTCATTACGTACATATGACGTCATTACTTATGAAAATATTCAGTGCTTTGAAGTCAGCATATACTCTCCTGTTTAAGAACTTAATTAAATATATCTCCATCAAAGTTTGATTTGGGGGGCAAATATTGGTTATTACCGAATAAAGTTCTTTATAATATTAAGGTTATTCCAGAAAAGGTGTAAATAATATTATTGTCTCTTTGTTAAATAATTGAAATTCCTTAAAAAAAGTATCAGTAGTATAGGGTGTGTTGGTGTGTTAGATTGACATAAGAATAATGAAATCTATATTTGAGCTACATGTATAAAGATAAAATGACATTTTTTCTTATTTATATGAAAGAGTTTTTTTTTTACTAAAAACTTCGATTTTTTCTCAGATTAACTGATTGCTTAATATGCATTTAATAGCTTGTTAAATTGAATATATATCAGCGAATTAGATATTTACAGAAAGAAAAAAAAATTAACTTATACAACATTTAATTAATTTTTGATTCGACTATCGGATCAATATCTTTTAATCACTTGAAGAATTATTTTTTTCTAAAACAAATAAGAAAATAAAAAAAATCATTTTGAATTAGTCTCTTTAAAAAAAAATGGTATTAATTATTTAAACATATTTTGTATCTATAATCACAGTTTAAGAATTTAGTAAACACTTTTTAAAGACAAGTAAACCTCAAACCGTGCTTACCAGTTTAAGGTACCTGGATTTTATCACGACAAGAAAAAAAAACCAAATTAATGAATCAATTCAAAATATTGTGACGGAAAAATATCTTATCATTAACTAGTAAGCCAGTGAATAAAAATCGCATAATTGACTAAAATATATCACTGAAAGGTGACAGAAAGGTAACTGAAAGACGACGGAAAGGTCAATGAAAGTTGACAGTAAGCTCACTAAAAGTTGACGGAAATATGTGCACTGGATGGTGACTGAAAGGTACCTGTAATGTAACTGGAAGGTTACTGAAATGTATGTGCCATTCAGTGGCTGAATGGCCACTGAAAAGTTACTGAAAGCCGCCTTTCAGTTTTAACTGAAAGGTCTTATTTCTTCCTGTGTTGTTTGTCAGTCCGTGTATGCCCGTAAACCATTTTTCCAAACGTTATTCCTCATACCATTTTGACTTCATATCCAAACCCATTGTTTAATAAAAAGGTGTTGGTACAGACGTACACTTCATGGATAAGAAAATACATATTTCGGTGTATAGGTTTTCGATTTTGACCAGCGGCGTTGCAAGTTCACTAATGTAGAATTTTCAGTAAATTTCTTTCAAAAGGCCATTCTTACAATGCACTAGAGCTTCAGTATCGTCAAGGACCTTTTTCATTAATAAAGAGGAAATATTTTGTGCACAATCAAAACATTAGATATAAAGTAATGTAGAACTGAGCCAGTTAGTTTTGCAAGCTCAACTGAATTCAATAAAAATCCACCTGACGTAGAATGGAACATTATTTCTATTCAAGATAAAAGGCTGAATTTTCCCCCCTAAATTTTACATTATTTTTTTTAAAACAAAGAGTCCAATGAACAAAGTCTTCAAAGTCCAGTTACAGCGATATTAGAAAAGGTCTAATGTTATTTAATGAAAATTGATGGTTACATGTACATTTTGTTTTTACAGATAAAGATGCAAAACAAAACTGGAAAAAATCGATGGATTGGTGCAAAACATGGTCCCTGCCTACTTACTTATACGGAAATATATCATTGATCAACGCCTCCCTTGCATGCCGAGCATTGTTTAGAACAAGGAACGGCTCATCATGGCTTGGCATTGCAAAGGAAGTTTATATTGGATATGATAGAGGTAAACGGTTTATTTTTTTAAAACTACAACGCGGGGTAAATTATCAATTTAACGTGAAGCAGAGAGATAGCATTTCTTTATCCAAAAAGGACGAAGCTGACTTTATAAAAGCTCCTTCCAATATATAGGTAGTGTTTTGTCCATAAAAGAGGTCAAATATAACCGATAGCACTTTAAATCTTTCTTGTCAAAATGCTGAACGGGTCTGTATCTGTATATATATTACAGATACAGACCCGTTCAGCATTTTGGCAAGAAAGAAGTTAAAGATAAATGCATGTCGCATATATACGTTCCAATATTTGTGGATACAGTGTATATGGCAGTCTTTGATTAATAAAAGCATTTTTAAAACATAGACTTGAAGATCAGAAAAAATAAACATAAGTCATTATTGATTTTTCAGTCAGTTTTTAAGAATTGAATTGAGACAAAAACGTGGGAAATATTTTATGTATAGGTTGAACTTTATTTTTAATTCCGTCAATGAATTAGAGATAATGTATTTCAAATATTGTGCCTGAAAACGTTTTATGGTAAATTATCTTTTCCTGAAAGATTTCTTTCTAAGGTCATACTTTTCCACAATGTATATTAAGGAAATAACTGTCTAGTTGAATAACTTTGTTTTTTTTCATGATGTGATCAATCGAGTGGCTTGCGTGATAATTTGAATAAACGCCTTCATTAAATTATCACACAAGCCAATAGACTGATCATGGTCATGACATAAAAAAAAACTGACGGTTATTCTGTATACATACATGCTCTTGATTCTGCCAAACCACGTGCTACAAGCCCCGCTTATGTCTCTATTTGTACTGCCCCGCACATGATTTTTTTAATTGCGACTGTCTATAAACCAATACATAGTATATGTAGAAATATAGTATATTAACTTTTTGTTGTTTTATCACGGACAAAGACATGCATATGGGAAATATAAATATATTTGAAATAGAGAACTCAATTACACTTAACATCATAGAAAGTAGTTTTCACAGACCCCACTTTAATACGCTTTCTGACCTAATGTTTTTAAAACTAATGAGCAGTTTATTTTATTTTATTTGATATAATAAATTTGGAAATTCAGTTACCACTTCACTGTTCTTCAGGCTAAAGATATACAGTTAATAGATGAACTCCTAATTAATAGTTAATTTTTCTAAGAATAATTGTACAGGTGTTGCTCTTGACGCCGAACACAGACGAACCTTCCTGTATTGTCAGAAATGTAACCACACTGGTTGTGAATTTGTCGATTGTTTCAACAAACTGAGTTATGTTCTCTGCCAAAAGGTAAGTGTTTATTGTTCATATGTTTGGCACTGTAAAATCATATATTTTCATAGCTAGGGTCAATTTTCATCCTTCGGGGAAAAGTATTTGTTCATAAAAATACCATTTAAGATTATCCTTTTAATGTGTACATTGAGTTTGTCCGATTGCTAGATATCATTGCACACTGTTCGTTATCTCCATATCCATTATCTAAAAAAAGGGGAAGCATAAATCTAATAAGCGCCAAAAAATAATTTTAATCTTTCTTTCACACTAAAAAGGCACAATTCAGTTGCAATTTATATACACCGTTTTGTTGGTAATTGTGTGGTTTTGTAAAGAGACACGTATCCCAATGTAAATGTACCAGAATAGTACATGATTTTAAGTGCCTCTAGCCGAAATTTTGATTTTACATGACAATAGCAATAAAGGACACCCTGGCTTACTTAAGGGTGGGTCTTAATGAATGCCATATGCTGCAAGTCTGAATATACAATGTCTTTAAACGTATATTTTTGGATCAGATTTCCTGACATGTATATTCTGGAGTAGACTTCTTGACACTTATATGAGTACATTCTGATCTTTCTGCTTCTTACAGACCTTGTTAGTTGAAACCATTACTGTTGTTTATGCTACAAATGGAATTTCTGATCTCACCATTCCTGAAGGTAAACATATTTGCACTTCATACCATCAGTATGATATAAAATCAAGATATACAAAACATGTCTATGTCAAACGTTCATCTAATCTTAATTCTTAAAAAATCACTCTGTAATAAAACAAACTTTTACTAAAGAAAGTTCCCACAGTTTTTTTTTTCAAAAAAATGTTTAAGAAAATATCTGATCAAGAAGCTTTTGGAATAAGGCAAAATAACTGAGGGTTCTTTCTCTGATATTATTCTGATCAATGGCGTAATTAACGGAAGCCCTTTTTAGCCTCTCAGAGAGTAACGTGCATGTATCTGTCTATGTAGAAATATCATACCGACCTACAAGGCATTTTATCCGCGTGACATCATTTAATACAAATATATTCTTTGCATAGTTTAAAAGATAAAAATATTTCTTGTACTCATTTTTAAAGAATTATCTATCCTATGAATATAAATTTTCGTCAGGACATGGACTAAAGCAATGTCAAATGGATTTGAAGAGTGAATTTATATCTAGTAAATAACTTTACTTTTGTTTACTTTGAAATAAAGAAACATCATAAAAATGTTGTTATAAACAAAAACGCTCAGTTTGGGATGTTTTTTTTATGAATGCTTTTTTTTATTTCAGATCCAGGAAACCTGATTACTATAATTGCTATAATTGTGTCCTTATTGGTATTCTTTATTTTTGCGGGCTGTTTGGTAATGGTCATCACCATTTTTATCCGGTAGGTACCCGGTATATCACGTTATTTGCTTTAAAATTCGTTTTATCCTCTGCTTTAAGAAGCTTTTTTTTTTTTTAAATAAAATAATTCTTACTTCAATTATTTTTCTGTTTTATTTATTTTACAGCAAGAAGAAAACAGGAAATGAAGATAGAAATGAAGATAGAGAGAAAAATATTCAAAAGCTAAACATCAATGAAAATTGTTATGTTAATGTGAATGGCGCTCAAGGAATGATGGAAAATTATTCTGAACAGAGACTTTCATCAAACGATTTTGGCAAACAGGAAAACACTGTGCAAAATTTAGATGAACCATATCGGGAAACATTTGATGGCGTCTATGATCATCTTGGGGATAAGGAAACTAAACAAAACAAGAACGATAATGTTTATGATCACGCCCATTTTGCTGCCGAATCAGAGGACGGGGTGTATAATATTAGTACTAATGGTATATCACAAAAAAAATCTCAAGATGAGGCACTTATGATCATGCTGGGTCTTACTCAGATTATGGACAGTATGGTGGACAAGTCGAGAAGGTGGAGGATACTTACTCCAGACTCCAGAGCGGACACTAAGAGGATACGAATAAGTGTTTTTTTCAGTTAAGAAGGGACCTGCGTCATTTGACCTCAGGACATTTTCTTTTGACTAGGCATCACATATACTTTTCTTAGATATTTGCATTTGACTTTACACTTTTGTGCAATACATGCAATTTTGATATAAGCTAATTAAAATTTACATATGAGCATTTGGACACATGTCATGTATCACAAATTGGAAATTTTTATACAATTTAAAAAAGAATAATCCTCCTCCATATTTGCTTTATAAATAGTAATAATTTTCTCTCGTTGATTGATAACCTAAAAGATCAATAGCAATCTCATAATATTATATGGGAATTTTTTCTCAAAAAAATAAAGCAGGCATCTTTTAAGGGGTCTTAAAGTTAGGCATTATTTGAATGTCAATTATAAATTACAATTCCGGATCTACGTTTATCAGGGTGCTTTCAGACTATTATACGTTTGGTTTTACTAATTCAGAGTAATTAAAATTTATTTAGTAATTAAAGCTTGTTTCATTCTTTATAGAAAGAATGTGCATTGCCATAGATCCTGTCCATAGAGATGTATGATTTTGGTGATTACCTATCGTCGACCTTGTGGTTGCAACTGAAGCAGATTTCCAGTTAATATAAACATTAATAAAGAGCTATTGACTATTTTACATCACCTAGCGGCCAGCTATAGATATTCTGTGTCCATAGAAAATCTATCGAACGTCTGGCTTTCCAAATTTTAAGTAATAATCTTGAAATTGTCGTGTGGTGCTTGTCATCGATATCTGCATTCGTTTTTTATTGCAGAATTCTGAAGCTGTTGAAACCCCAGAATGGAAGTTATAAAATTCTAAATATTTCGTATTAATCAATTTCTGCCAAAAATAAAGATCATTTTCTCAATTGCAAATGCAAAATCTGAAACTGAGAGATGAATTCAAAGATGAAATATTTATATCTATATCAGTTTTATATCTATCGAGGTGAGTTTGAAATAAAAAAAAATACCACAGGGTCTTAAACAAATTTTTCATATTTATATATTTTACTTAAATAAAGACGTTCATAGTAATCTAACAACCAAGCTTTATGACAAACAGTAACTTTCAATTATCAACCTCCCTAATGTACGTACGCAGCGATATACCTTCGTCACCTGCATACGGGTTTTATATCTCTCTGATGATTCGACACACAAGAGCAGGTTCTACGTATGAACAATTTTTAAATCGAGGTCAGTAACTAATTGACAAACAAGTTGCTGGAAGAAGAATATCGACAGTCTCGTTTATAGTCATCATTATCAGCTCTAGCTCGATCCAAAGACCTTGTCAGCAAATACAAATTTCTATTAAGGTCAAGATCGACTAACTGAAAGCTGCTAACAGATATATCAAATTTAAGAAATCAATTCCTTTATTGAGGCTTTGTAATTTTAGCTTGTTCAAATAAGATGTTTCGGGACATAATTTGAAGGTGAAGAAGATGAATAAGAATCATATTTCAGTCTATCATTTCCAATAAAAACTTAAGAAAAGTAGTCATAAATATAGAACTTATTTCCATATCAGGTAAAGAAAATGTTTACAAATTGCCTTACATCTTTCAGAAAACGGTAGCTTGTATGTTCTTGGCCTCTTCTTTTAAATTATGTCAGATTTAATATGATTTCGTGACTACTTTTTATGATTTATAATTGAATTCTATCAAAATACCTTAATTTCTGAATAATTCTAGACCCAAAAAGTTTGGGAAAGAAAGAAAATTGAAATGGCTTATGAGGTCATAATGGATCTAGCACCAAAAAGTTAGTTTAACGTCATTTAATAGATATTGGCCTTACTTCAAATGCTGACTGACGTTTTACATACACATTGTAAGGCAATTATTTACGTACTAAAATGTCTACTAATAATTCCATTTCTTCCAATCACGACAAGGAGCACATGGTGGGTGTGCCCTTTAGCAGGGGATGCTCAATCCTCCATGGCACCTAATCACACATCTAATGTTTTGAAGGTCTGTGTTTGCTCTGCTCCTGTATTAGGTATTGTTAGATACTTAAGCTTGAATACTGTTCGTTATCTCTATATATTGTAATGATCATCAATGCATTTGGAACTATTTATTTAAATGGTTTTGTAATAATACATGCGTTTTATTCCTATTTATGCTTAATAACATATGAGCACATAAGAGAATGCATATTTAATCATTCTTTGTATATAAGAGAATGGTAGTAGCTTACCTTACTAAAATATAAATAATTGATAATATTTTTCAGGTAATTTTCACCTTTCTAGACATTGAATCAGAATTATGAAAACGCGAGGGAGTAAAAAGAACCAGGGTTTGATTTTATTTCAAAATATAACAAAAGAAAACCATATTTCATTACACAAGGTACGAATCATTCCAATTTCCTAGGTTGATTTATTCTTACAAACAATCTTTCAAATATGGACAAAACAATATTGTTCAAATATTATATTTTTCGTATTACTGAAAGTGTAATAGGAATAAGTATTGAAAACAGCCACCATAAAAGAAGAAAAATGCCTCATAAAATAAATTATGTGGATTCTGGTGATAAAAATTGACAGACCATTACATACCTCCCACATTAAATGTCATTAAGAAGAAAACACACATTTTCTTATACAATTCTGCTCTGAATTTCTTTTCAAAAATCAAAAACGCGTTACCAATCGTTATACAGTTTTGGGTTTGACTTGAGGAAATTTGCAATTTTTTTTTTATTCCCTGAGAGAGGAAACTATTTCCAGAGGCAGTGAAGATTATGTCCTTTTAAAAATGACTGTGAAAATTATTCAACTATGATGGTACCGATACGACAAATTCATGGCCTAGCTCATAGACTGTGAGGGGATGATTGTATTACTGCATTAACAAAGCTGGAATTTGATTTATTCAACTTAATCTAGTTACTTTTGAGTACGCACTCCTAACAAACAAAACGAAACTAATAAATAATCGTGTAAAAGCACAGTAATGTGTTAAATAATGATATCTTTAAACATGCAGTAAGTTATTCGTTCTTGAGTATCTCTATAATTTACGTAAAGCACTTCCGGCTCACAAATTCATTCCTCCGTGAAACCCATGCCTCAACATGGACAACAACAAGGAAGTTATTTTCTTCTTCTTTTAAAGGAAAGATATGATTATACACAAATAAAAACTCGTATCTTTGTAAGAGAAAGGGAAAACTGTAAGTAAATTTACCTCCTTATAACAAGAGAATTAAAAGGATAGCAATTGATGGATTGATTCAGCTTTCTTTTGTCATATTTCTTCGACTAAATACAGATCTATTGCATAATATGAATGGTTTTTTCTTAAATGAGCATGTTTGTACGTACATTGCCCAATGTTGATTTGTAAGACTATCCCAAAATTACCGTTCATATAATCATACAATGTAGTGCATCACTTTCAAACGTTGCATACATTGAAATTGAAATCAATCTATCTATACAGATTTCTGTGTTAATAGTTTCAAGAAACTCAAAGCTTGAATGATACACTTAAGCAAATCTATTTTAGGGATGTAATAATAATTTCATGAATAAACAAATTATATGGACAAAGAGTCAAAAAGGTTAGCCATGAGTTCAAAAGTTTAGCCTTGTTCTAAATTCAGTCATAGTTTGTTATAGTTCTTGGTGGTTACTGTAATTGGGATTGTAACCGTAAGGAAATTTTTTAAAATATTTTTTGAAGATGTGAAAGTTTAAACTGAGCATGTATTATCTCCTTTGTTATAAACTTCGTTATTCCACTGTCAATCATGTTATGGCATCTGCGTTCTCCCTACTGTCTAATCTTTTTCAATCGACATGCATACTTGATGTTCTTTTAAATACCTACAATTATACCTGTAAGACAAGTGACAAAAGCATTAACAGAAAATTTTATAAATGTGTTTATATGTTTGCATTAGAGACATGGATAGAATTTTTATATATAATATGGGTTATAAAGGAAGCAATTTCTTCTAGGCTTGCTCACTAACTAAGACATCGAACCATATTTTTATGCAGTTATTCATAAATTTTAAAAAAAACAAACCATTGTAATGCCCAATGCGTGATTTATGTTTTGATTTATTAACCAAGGGTCACAGGATTGAAGTCTGTTCATGTTTTAAATCGAGATATTAACATTTGCAAATGTTTTCATTTATATAACACCACTGAAATCAATGCGTATCTATAACTGTATAAATACAGCTACGGGGTCAAGGGGTCATAAATGTGCGTATGGATAAACGTTTGACGTAATTTCTCTGTGACTTCATAAAAGGTCGACGCGCGATTTGTGGATTATTTACATGCCGTTGGGTTTAAAAAATAACACATTTCACACGTTAAAAGTCACAATCAGGCAAATATAAAGTATGAATAAGTCACAAATGTAAATATAAGTAATAAGTTATCCTTTTAAAACATCTATCGGGCTATAAATACGGGTTTGTACGAGATTAAATTTATCATAAAGCCCTTCGGGCTTTATACAATTTAATCTTGTGACCAAGCCGTATTTATTCATGTATCCCGATAGATGTTTAAAAATGATACCTTAATTCTAAATTAAATACATGAAATAGTTAAAACATTTTCTTACAAATCAGGCTTCAGTCAAATGGTAAATTTTTAATTATGTTGTTTGAATTATCTGTTTCAGGTTACCGATTTGCAGATACCATGCGTGATTTATTCGTTTTTTCGCATGGATTGCTTTTCTGTACAAAAGAGGTGACATTTAATATATTAATTTATTCATATTTTTCACATCTGATCGCTTTTTTTTCGAACATAAACGGAGTCAAATTACATGCATGTACTTAAACGTTTTGATTATCAAATTTTAGTTACATTACACTTTTCTACAAAATATATTTATTCAATTGTTTAGAGATTTGGATGAGTTGTCATTTGAAGTTAAAAAATAATTTCAATCAACAAGGAATCTATGTTGATAGTGTTTCATCATTAAACATACAAGATTTGTGATGATTTCAGCAAAAAAAAAAAAAATTAAAAAAATTAAAAAATAAAGTAACAAAGCTGTTTACAATATTTAGTATGCTTTTTATTCATTAATCGAAATATTGTTCATGCAGAAAATGTGATGTGTGAAGCCAAAGGGTACACATGGTTTGATGCGCAGGAAATATGTAGCAGGAACAACAGTGTACTTACTAGAAAAGCTGTGCATAATTCATCAGATTATTTCTGGATTGGAAATTATCGACGGAAGTCGACCTGGATAAAAATATCAGGTATGCTTTAAAAAAGATATGTTTTTTGTATGTACTGTACCTGTATATACACACACACACACACACACACAGAGAGAGAGAGAGAGAGAGAGAGAGAGAGAGAGAGACTTTTGCCTTTCCAACAAAACTTTTATTCTAGCAAGCTATCATAAGTGCTTATTTTACCAGTGAAGAATAAGCCGTCGAGTTCCCGATACCTTAGTGGTTTCAATGCAATTTGAACCCAAATTAAAAATATCTATTCAAGACGTTAGCCAGGGAGTAGTTGAAATAATTGCTTTTCAGTAAGTTAGTGGTATTTCCAAAGGATAAAAAGAAATTAGAGATGATTATAATAGCAAAATCCATTTTTGCTCTTTGAGACAGGAAATAAGTGTCAGATCAAACAGTAAAATAAGAGGGTTTACAATGGCATTATGTAATAGAGAATCTGTGAAAGTATCATTAATTTTTATTCACTGGTACATGAATTGGAGGAGCTGCAGACAAGAAATGAGCTCCCCTCAGTATTATGTTTACACTTTTGAATTTATTACTTATCAGCCCAAATATTGATATTTATTCGGAACTAATCGAAATTCGGAACTTGCCAAACGACAGTATGATAGGATATGGTTAAAATCAATGATTAACTATTGACGCAGGATTTACGATAGGATAGGTTTTGACGCAGGATTTACGATAGGATAGGTTTTTACTTCATTTAGGAATGCAACACTGTACTAAATGCAATAAAAGTTGTCAGGTTGTATAGATTTGAGGAAATATTTTTTTTATTTAATTTAAGGATGTTATCCAGGAAGGGTACTTCAGACATTTTCAATGAGTTATGATATGAAACAACTACCCTTCGCAGGATTTTGTCAAGAAATATGCTTGTCTTTCAAAAAGACCGTTTTTGCAATAAAGGTAACTTTGTTTCGAAGCATTACAAATGTTTGATAATGCTTTGTTTTTCATTATCATACATTTGGTTAGTACATGTATGTATCATTTGGTTAACAATTTTCTTGTTGATATATATTTGAAAATAATGACCCGTGTTGTTCAATTTTTTAAAACAGCTATAATTTCTTCTTCCCTTTTACTTTTTTCTTTATCTTAACCATGCTGCAGGGCTATAAATTTCAGTTCTTAGCTATTTATATCTACCTAGAAAGCAGTACTCGATTAATATTTTATATGACTATTTATATCGAAGGATATGACTCCGGGGCCATAAAACTGAGACGAGCTCTATTTTGATCTAAGTCTCACTTTTTCAAAAGAGTTTTATAATTGATCAAAAGTTTTATAGCCCCAGAGCCTGGATTAAACTTTCTTCCAATGATGTAAAGATCCAAATTTTCAAATACAAGGGTTACGTTATTTATAGATGTAGATCACTACTAAGTCAGAAACGTACTGACATTCCCATTTTTTACTGACAAACTTAGAAAATTACTGACAATGTGCTGTCGTTACTGTAAAACTTAGACAATTACTGACCTTTTTACTGCCGGTACTGATAAACTTGGAAAAGTGCTGACAAATTTAGTCGGTGCTGAAAAACTTAGACAATTACTGACCCGTTTACTGTCCTTGCTGAAAAACTTAGACAAGTGCTGACATTTACTGATAATTACTGTCCCTATTGTTCTCGCTCTCGGGGAGGCTGCAGTGGTGTGAAAATGACCGTGTCTTATACATTGCATTTAAAAACAGTCTAATTTTAATTTTTGATGAAAAAAAAATTCCAGTAATGTATTATTTTTTTTAATCTAAATATTATTGATATCTGTAAAATAATTCAGAATATGATTTGAAATTAACTATGTGTAAATCAAGTTTAAATTTATGTGTTGAATATATCTATTCCTGTTCAATTAAAGAATTAAAATTAATTAATCATCAAATTAGTTTTCATCTATTTATTTCTTTGCAGACAGAATGATATCTGACTTTAATGTAGAGTCCCCCCCCCCCCTGTTTTCACGATCGGAAAGTTGTATTAATTTTCTTTTCACAAACAGGACAGATGTCTCTTGTTAAAAAAGGAATTCTTCTAAATATTGAATAATTACTGATAGGTAATTCAGTTTCTTAATGTTCTGGGACATCTGTACAAGTCATAAAATTATATACCCCTGTTTAGGATTTCCGGTTTCATTTGCTCATACGGGAGTTGCCCTATTGAACAGTACAGTGTTTCATATATAAACTTGTACTGTGCCTTGTTAATTTTGTCACTTAAAACATTATATCTAAATGAATGGTTGGTTGGTTGCTTACGCAGGGTTTATAAGTACCCAATGTCTGTAAGTCCGAGACTAATAAATATTTATCAGACTAGTAATAAAAATTCATGTGCTAGCACGATTTCCCCCAATATTTTTCTTCTCTCTCTCTCTCTCCCTCTCTCTCTCAAAGATACAAACAGTTTACTTGACAAGTGCTCCGTTTATTCACATTGCCGGGGGGGGGGGTTAGATCGGTGTGTTCCCATTTCGCCTGAACTGTGAAATTCAGGTAAGAAAAAGTTTAAAAGTACTAAGGCAAAATGGGAATTTTAGTATTTGTAAAAATTATCACTGGGTTGATATAAAAATTTAAATGATATTTTTTTTAGATTGAATTTAACAGTTAACAGATTAATGGGAATTGATGAATACAGTTAATGAAATAATACATGGAATTCCAAAAAACTTTATGCTAAATATATTAAATCTCCATCACTTTAATTCACCTGTTCACCTGAGAGCTTATTAAGGCGAAATGGGAATGCTGAGTTTTACAGTTAAGGCGAGATGGGAACAAACCACTAGATCACGATTTAGTTTTTAAACTTAATCTTTAAGTATTTTTTAATCGTAATTCAGTTTAAACAAAAAATATTACATGTTTCATACCTTCCATTTTCCCCCTGTAGCTTTCGGTGAATTGGAATTAATTTAATTTTATGTGCCGAAATTAAATTTCATCTCATTAAAGTAGGTACAGGCGTAGGGGGTGTTATGATTTTAACATAATAATAAGGCAGAAGGCGGACTTGTCTAATAAAATATTTTACGAAGTAGTGAAAATTGGAAGTCATTAGTCCGTCGAACCAGTGCTCACAAATATTTATTTCGAACCCTCTAGCATACATGTATACCCCCCCCCCCTACACACACGTTACATGGAAAAAAATATCTAGTATACTTGAAAAGGATTTATAAAAATGTGTAAGTATTTTGAATGATGCAAATTTATTTGTCAGTTTGATCAATTTATACCCGTAATCATTATTTATTTGATTCAGGTTTCATTAAGATCTTTTTCATAAGATTAAGATTATTCGCTAACTGTAGGTGCCCACTATCTTCCCTGTCGAGTTGCCGTTCATCTCTCCCCCCCCCCCTCTCTCTCTCTCTCTCCAAAAAATCAATATCGACCCAGGCAAAGTTTAAAATATAGTTAAACTCCGGCTTATTTTTTTTACTGTCATGATCTTGCTGCATATAAATTGTTTTTGATTTTTTAATTATTCTTAATTACTGATAAAAAGTTAAGAAAATATACTATGAACTATTTTTTATTTGATCTGATAATCAAACAAATTCCTCACTTCACTGTCCCACACCCACACTAGCACGACTTAACAAAAAATATTAGGAACCAGTAATTTTTACAAAACTTTGGATGTAATGTACCCCTTCTCATATATTTATTTTTGCTTAAATCTTTAAAAAGTTTGTGCCTTTTCCCGGTTGGTTTTCACATCATTCTTCTTTTTCATTAATCTTTGATTTTATCTTACGTCGGTACATTTAAAAAAATAATTTATTTAATCTAAGAAGAGGTTGAAGGATTGTAGATGGCATATAATTTATATTACGTATGTGTTGGGGTTGAATTTCTCAAATTTAAGCTGTGTTGAAGAAGAGTCTACCTGTCGTCGTAATGTTGCGTAACTTACTTCCAGTGAAATCTGGCGAGTGCTCTTCTGTATATAATGCTGCAGTGACACCTATTGTCTTCTTTACCCGCTACCGTACACACTCGGATCGCCTCAGGCGATTTCTTCTACACACAGGTGCATCACAGAGTTTCCGATTGTATGACGAAAGATTATGTAATTCGGCTAGATACTAGCTAAACGACTTGAATAATTTTGGACGAATAAAAAGTAAAGTGTTACTGTAAAATCATGATACTGGTTTCCATTCCGAACCAAGCTATGAAACATCGATTTATTAAGTTAATTAAATTTATTAATTTAAAATCCCCATTTAAATTCGAAAAGAAACTAGATCCATGTGAACTGTATTTGAAAAGAACATTGATATTAATTTCTAACAAAGTTTTGTTTCAGGAGTGTGCATAGACAAATGATGATAATATAAAATCTCATAGTTTTACATGTATTTGAATTAAAATGAAACTTTCAGGTAGGGATCCAGAAAATCCAGATTCGAAAATCTGCTAAAAGATGTTCATTGTTTCAAAGGAATAATGCGGACAGTAAGAAAACCAATGAATGTCAAAAGATCAATGATCAATGCAGGCCCGTAACCCCCCACCCCCCCCCCCCCCCCCGCCCGATAAATAAAATAAAAAGTCATTTTTTTTAAATTTAAATCTCCCGTCTGTCTTTTAACATGTTTAATTCTTGTTTCTTTTTGCAAATGCTTGGATTCGGGTATGTTTGACTGCACAAAAACAAATTTGGGCGGCCTCCACAAAATTTAAAAAAATTACATAATTTGAAAACTTTAACAAACACCTTTCCTCAAAAGGGGGCACCCACGGCCTCACAGCGCGCTTTGAGTTTATTAAAATTATTCAAACTAATTTGAATAAATTAAATTAAAATTGAATAAAACACATGTAACCTAACAGTTTAATTCTTTAGATTAATATTAAACAAAGTCAGGGAGTTAATGTTAATTAAGAAAATATTATAAAATGCACGTCATATAATAACAATGTTTTATTATAAAAAGGATAAGACCTCTGTAAAATTTTACATTTCGCTACTAAACAAAGATTTTTATTTTTTATTTTAATTGCTTTTCTTTTTGAAAGTTTTGAAATTTTATCCCTTCTCTTGAAAATACTTTTTTACTAATAAATTTATTATCTATAAATCGATCAAAGAAGCTTTTTTTTCAAAGATATCAACTTGACATAGTTAAAAATTATATGAAAAAACAAATAAATGAAATAATAATCTATGTTAAAAAAATCAATTTCACACCCCTGAAGCCTCCCCGAGAGCGAGAACAATAGGGACAGTAATTATCAGTAAATGTCAGCACTTGTCTAAGTTTTTCAGCAGGGGCAGTAAACGGGTCAGTAATTGTCTAAGTTTTTCAGCACCGACTAAGATTGTCAGCACTTTTCTAAGTTTATCAGTACCGGCAGTAAAAAGGTCAGTAATTGTCTAAGTTTTACAGTAACGACAGCACATTGTCAGTAATTTTCTAAGTTTGTCAGTAAAAAATTGGAATGTCAGTACGTTTTTGACTTAGTAGTGGATGTAAGTGGAATTTATTTCAATACATACAAGCTTGTCCCCTTTTGGTTTTGTTGAAATGTTATGAAAGCCAGGCTCCCTAATGGGGAGCTTTAAGAGGTTGGATGCATGTTCAAACTTAAAGAAAAGATTAAGCAGTGATGATTGCTGATCGATATTTGCAGCGAAAGTCGAATACACGCTGATAAAGTTGTTTTTTTTACCATTTTATATTAACATGTAGAGGTACATTTTTGAACATATACCTTTTACTCATATCTTAAATAATTTTCTACTATATTTTTTAGAGGTTCATCAAATTTTAAACATAATCAAAACGAATTTAATTATTGTTATTTTTACCTTCATGCAATTGGAATATTTATCTAGGGATCAGAATGCAAATGTTTACAAAATCCTTTTAACTTGAATGAAGAACTGCCATCAGATACTTGTAATGTTTCGTGTAATATCGGAGCTGATGCCCATTATTTTGACGAATGTGGTGGACAAAGGGCTTATTCAGTATTTCAGTCAGGTAACAGAAATCTTTTAATGCATGCATATTACACATTATTTATTTTTAATAAGTTTAAGTTATAAATTTTCTATGATAAATAAACTTTCAGATTTTTTGACAGTATAAAAACTGCTTCTTTTATCAAACAACTTGTAAATTGGCTACCTTTGTCATTGATCATTTAAAAATTATTTTTTTTTTTACAAAATATTCAAAGGCTTCACAGTGACATCGAAGTTGATATTTACATGAAGAATGTTCTTAAGTTACTGATTGACAATATTTATGTATTTTTGAAGATCAAGTCTTCCAAAAATATATCGGAATTTTCATGTGAATCTTTTGCATTTTTAACAGCGATTATATTTGTGCTTTCATACATGTATGAAGCTTTGTTCATAAACCTAAAACTTTTAAATGAAAAAGAAAAAGCACCTGCATTAGTCTTCAACTCGACATTCAGATATGTCCATACTTGCATAAATATGTCCACTCCATATATCTTCGCAAACGTGAAATAAAGATACAACATGGTCTGTCTCCTCTGCTCCATATTTGTATTTTTAAGTACACTGAGACGTTAATGGTAATTTAACAAAAAAACTGTATGATACATGTAAACGTGACGATTTCCATTCTATTAATTAAAATATTTCCTCCATGTACCTTTATGACCTCAATATAAAATGTATTTCTCCAACTTGATTCCATTTTTTAAACGGGTAAAGATATTTACAAATAAGTTGACGAAACAAAGACATCAACATTTCAGTTTGAAGTCAACATTTTTAAAGTCCTGTGATCGATACAATGACCGTGAGAGAAAGTACAATCAGTAAGTCCAATGTTGACTACATTCTTCATACTAAATGATAGGGCATTGTTTTCAAAATGCATTGTCAGAATTTTTCCGATCATGACAAACAGCACACGTCGGTAAGGGATGCTTACTTTCTATGACTTCTGACCCCACATCTAATGCTTATCCCTATTTGCTCTGTTTCCTGTTCATATTGTTTCAGAAATGGACTATTGAGATTAAATCATTTTCCTTATCACAAAATTTCACCCTCTCCAACATTTAAGATTTTTATAATATTATTAATAAAATTATGAAGGAACATATGAATTTAATTGATGAGATCAATTGTTAAATAGTCAATTTTTTTATCAAAACGAAAGAATCATTTACAGATATATAATATGTCATTCATCACTGAACAGCTTATAGAAATCTTATATAATAAATTATTTTTTTTTAGTTATGGAAAACAATCAATATTCAAAAAGTGAATCATTTTGTATTGGTATCCACTGCACAGAATTCCCGGAATTTTACTTTGAAAAAGACTGTAATCGAAGATATCCACCATTATGCCAAAGTTGTGGTATGTTGTTTCATTTTAGCTGAATTAATTTTTGATATAATGTGAATTCTAGCAAATAGAATTTTTCATTGAAATAATATAAACACTGTCTCACATTTTATTTATTTACAAATTATTCACTATCTTTATTAAAACACTTTACAAGACTAGTTTAATATGTTTCTTTAGTTGAATTATTTTGTACATGTAAAATAAATGATTGACTGATTGTATACTGTTTAACGTCCCTCTCCAAAATATTTCACTGATATGGAGACGTCACCATTGCCGGTGAAGGGCTGCAAAATTAGGCCTATGCTCGGCACTCAGGGCCTTTGAGCAGGGAGGGATCTTTATCGTGCCACACCTGCTGCGACACGGGGCCTCGGTTTATACGGTCACATTTGAAGGACCGCCCCATTTAGTCGCCTTTTACGACAAGCAAGGGGGTACTGAGGATCTATTCTAACCCGGATCCCCACGGGGTAAAAATAAATGAAACAGATTTAAACACAATTATGCATTGTAATAATCTACCTTTTGTTTTTATCCCTTTTATGTTTTTCTAATGAATTGAATGATGAATAAGTACCTTCATCGCTTGGTATATATACACACATAAAACCCAACCTTAAATAATATAATGCTGTCTAGTATATATATAACGAAAAAAATGTCAACATGTTCACTTTAATTTTATTTAAGATATTCCAGAAAAACGTCAGTTTGAACCCTGGTCAGATGCAATGAAATACTGTAAATCTGGAAATTCGTCTTCATACTTATTTTCCAATGTATTCTTGAACGATATCAACAGAACCTGTATCTTAATCAATAGTGTATTTACTGAACCATCATGGCTTGGAGTGGCTGCTGAATTATACAGTGGGATAGATCGTGGTATGATAGTATATGTACTGTATACAAGGTTATTTTCGCCCTGTCTAATTTTCGCCCTTTCACACTTGCAAACAATTTTCCCCGTTTTAAATTCGCCCAGTCATGCATAGTTTTGATTGATTGATTGTATATTGTTTAACGTCCCTCTTGAGAATTTTTCACTCATATGGAGACGTCACCGATGCCGGTGAAGGGCTTCAAATTTACACCTATACTCGGCACTCAGGGCCATTGAGCAGTGAGGGTTCTTTATCGTGCCAACGCCTACCGTGACACGGGACCTACGTTTTTTAGGTCATATCCGAAAGACCCGTGACTTTCACTTCTAGTGCCGAGCGCTTGGCGAAGGAACAGTCACTACCTTTGTTTACGTCTTAGGTATGACGCGGCGCCGCGATCGAGAATCGAACCCGGGCCTCCAGATCACGAAGCGAACGCTCTACCACTAGGCTACCGTGACCGGTAGTCATAGTTTTCTTTAAGAAAATACGAGGGTTTTTCGATATGTATTGTGTATTGTACGATATCTCAAAAGCATTCGATTCAAATAGTCAAATTGACATTACATCTCTTCAAAGTATTCTCCATGATTTAAAATACACAATTTTAATCTCTGAATCCATTTCTGAAATGCGTCACGGTACGCTGATTTAGGTATACCTCTGAGGCACTGAATGACGGCTGAGCCTAGGGCCTGTCGGGACTTGTATCGACGACCAGATAAGAACTTTTTAAGTTTTGGAAAAAGGAAAAAGTCGCATGGTGCTTGATCCGGAGAGTATGGTGGGTGTGGCAAGACGGTAACCTTCTCAGACTTCAAAAATTGATTCACAAGCTCAGATGTATGTGATGGAGCATTATCATGAAGAAGGCGATCATGCCTAAATCCAAACACAGGACGTCGTTTCTGAAAATATTTCTTGAGCTTTTTCAGTACAACATCTCGGTAATACCGACCTGTAACACTTTTGCCCTTCGGCACCGGAATTTGTACGGCTAAACCATCACAAGAGAAGAATACGCAATAAAGGACCTTTTAGTGCTCCTTGTCCTTTGGAAACTACAGGCCTTCTACCGTGTTTGGTTAGCCATAATTTGTTTCCAACTTTTCTTACTGGTTCGAAATAGTAAACCCATGTTTCGTCACCAGTAACTTTTGCAAATTGTCTTTGATTGAAATTTGGAAACATTTTTAGCAGTCGCTTAGCGGTTTGTATTCGTACCTTTTTTGGTCATGTGTCGTATGGGGTATCTATCTGGCAGAAATTTTTCGTACTTTTAAAATACGCTTCAAAATGAAATGCACCCGCGATAGCGATATGCCAACAGCTTTGGCAATATCACGAATCGTGCACCTGCCATCACTTTCAATTATTTCCTTGACTTTTGAGACATTTGTCTTGCCTGACACAGTCACAGGTCGACCCGATTTTGCTGCATCTTTGACGGACTTTGTGCCAGTCAGAAATTTCTGTCTCCACCTACGAACTGTCTCTTAAGATACCTTATCAGACCCATAAACTTCCCCCAATTCAGTAAAAATCTGCTTTACCGAATTACCGAGTTTTGTGCAAACTTTTATAATAAGCTCTAATTTCTTCAATATTCCCAACCCTTTTCCCAACCATTTTTACAACAGTGGTCAACGACTGGCTCTATTGGAATGGCGATTATATATTTTATAGCCATGTGTAGTTGAAGTTGGTAAAGGTTAAGGTCATTCGTCATCTAAGGGTGTAATAAATCGGCTCCGAGAAAAAATCAACAAAATGTACAAACTGGACCGTATTTTCTTTTAGTGCAGGTTCCAGGAACAAATCTTTTTGATTATCATCATCATAAAAGTGAGTAACTTTGTTGACATGTAAAATTTTCGTGTTTATAACGCTGTGCAGACATTTTCCCTGTGTGACTATGACTATGAGTTGTGTTCACAAGTGGGAAACAAGAAAAATAAGTCAAAGTCGAAGAAACGCCCAAGAATTGATTTTAGTGATACTTCTTTAAGTAGAGATTCATCAGTTAATACAACAATGGCAAAAAAATCACATCAGAATCCTGATCTGCAAAGTTTAGATAAAATCCTAGATAATCTAGCAGGGGATGAAAAAGCACCTCGATTAGCTGTTGACATCATTCTAAGTAAAGAGTCGCTTCGAACATTCATATCTGAAACACTACTATCTAAAATAAATGCCCTTGAAACTTAGGTTGAAAACTTAAAATATAGAATGGACGAAATGGAACAGACGGAATTGTAATAAAATTTCGGGAATTCCAGAACCGGGGGCTGACGTGGTGGAGGACACAGACGCCACTGCACTCAAAGTTTTCAAGAATTTGGTTATAAAACCAGATAACTTTACCATCGAAATGGGTCGAGTGTGCAGAACTCACCGGGTAGGAAAACCAAAACTTGATGACAAGGGTCCCAGACGTCCACGTGACATCATTGTCAAGTTCTTGTCTTTCCATGACAAAGCCATGGTATTCTCCAGGAAAAGCAACTTGAAAACATTCAATAAAAAAGGGTCTAGCGCTCATAAAATATTTCTCAATGAAGCGCTGACGAAAAGACGCGTTGGTCTAATATACAGAACTCGACAACTCGTCAAAAACGATATTATCGAAAGTACATGGTCCCACGATGGTAGAATCGTAGTGAAGTCGAACAAGGGCAAAATTTTTGTTACCCTTCTATGAAACCGTGGACATCTACTCCAGCACCCCGTAAGTGACACCTCAGGTTGTTCTTGTTTACATTCTTAGGGAAATCCCTATAGGCTATTTATAGCACAGTTATGATTCTGCGCAAACCTGTTATATAAGTGGTTAAACTTGAAGTTAACATGTTAATGTGGATTATAGACGTTAATTTCCTAGTCAGTTGAAATGATCAATATAAATTTCAAAATCTTTTTTGTCGGTGCCGAGTGATTTATTTTATTTTTATTTTTTCTCAACTCTTCTTCTTTTGTATAGATTTATGCATTTTGTTCTTTTTGAAAATGCTTCCAGAATATGTGTTTTTGTATATATGTCTTTTCCTTGCATGCAATAGCTCGTACTTGCACGAGAGGTATGATGTGAGGAATTTTTTCCTCTGCTTATACGCTATTCATATATTTTGTTATTGTTTTTTGTGTTTCTCCAATCCGGAATCCGGAGTACACTACCAGTACCGGTTTTATAATTACATAGCTTTCATTATCTTCCGATGTTAAAGTTACATGACTGTGCAGTTTTATATAAACACTGTCATATACATATATAGATGTAATGTTTATTTGTTAGAAGTACTCCCAAACCGGTACTACTTTGTATTTTGTCTCCCCCTGTAATTTGCCCTTTTTGCTATTTTGTTCATTCTATTTTTCTCTTTTGTACAATTTTCTTAATGACTTTTTCTGTTTTTTCTATGTTACTTTGTTCATTTTTGATTGTGTTTTTTTCTATTCTTTTGTACATTCTTTTATTATTCGTTTTGTACCTTGACCTAAATGTAGGGAGAAGGCTTAAATAGGCTGCGCCTGCTACCCAATCCTATTCACAATGACACCAGTGAATAAAATATTGTTTAAAATAAAAATGTTGAAGGCTCGTGTTTATACTGTTGGCAAGGTATCGAATAGAGCTATCCAGGCGTATAAATATCTACGAAATCGTACTAGGTGTTATCGCGCTGTGGTACAATACACAATACATATCGAACAATCCTCGTATACTGTATTCTTTGAATTCGCCCCGTTTAAAATTCGCCCCAATGATAGTAGGATGAAAGGGGCGAAAATAAAAGGGGGGCGAAAATTTCCCTGTATACAGTATATCACAAAAACGTAAAAATTCACAAAACACGGTTAACCCTTCTTTTGCATAATCTTACAATAAAATCTGTATTTTTTCGAGTCCTTTTCTGGTAATGCGAAGCCTTTTCAGAAATTATTAAGGCATTAACTTTTACTCTATTTAGTCTGTAATAATTGATGGTCGTCCAGAGCTTTTGTATTTTGTTTGTATATTGTTAAACGTCATTCTAGAGAATTGTTCACTCTTATAGAGACAGTGAAGAGTTGTAAATCTTGCACTCAGCACATACGGTCATTGAGCAGCGAGGGATCTTTTTCTTTCCAGCACCTATTGAGACACGGGTCCTCGGTTTATTCTGTCTCATCCAAGGAAACATCCCTACGTATCACCGTGGGATTTGAACCCTTAAGAAAGGATCAACTCCTTACTCCGCGACTATAGAGCAGACGCTCTAAACCCTGCGCATCGCAGGCGACTGTTTACTATGGTTGAATTGTAAGAACAAAATATATAACAATAAACGAATAAACCCTCAGATACGTTTTATCGCATTGTTATTGTTTTAGCAGGACATTTGGTGTGGGCAAGGTTCTTCATAGAGCTATACAATATTTTGGGATTGCTGACTGCATCGCCTTAAAACCAGATTACTATCTTCTGTATAATTCCTTTAATTATCTCTGTATTTCGGATTGAAGCACCGGTCACGATAGCCTAGTAGCAGAGCGTTCGATTTGTGATCGGGAAGCCCGGGTTCGATTCTAGTTCGCGCCGCCGCGTCATACCTAAGACGTAAACAAAGGTAGTGACTGTTCCTTCGCCAAGCGCTCGGCACTAAAAGTGAAAGTCACGAGTTTCTCAGATATGACCTAAAAAACGTAGGTCCCGTGTCACGGTAGGCGCTGGCACGATAAAGAACCCTCACTGCTCAATGGCCCTGAGTGCCGGGTATAGGTGTAAATTTGAAGCCCTTCACCGGCATACGGTGACGTCTCCATATGAGTGAAAAATTCTCATGAAGGACGTTTAACAATATGCAATCAATCAATCATCTGATTGACGCTCTAACAAACTTGCACAAAATGAAGTAAAATTAAATCGATCAAAATATAAAAACAATTTGTATATTTTCGCTCCTACTATGAATTAATCAGGAATTTTAACGTTTACGTTGATGTTGCGTATTTTAATATCTGATTTCGTGACTCTGTCGGGTACCCTACCACTGGCCCATCAATATATCATTGATAAGAGAAAATAAAATATTTTTTTCAAATATTTATTTTATTTTTTTTTATTCTAAGTGTAAGTTAATTTAATCGTAAATTTTCACTGAAAGACGTTTGTATATATTAGATAGAAACAAGAATTAGATATACACTACGTGTCAATAATTTTGGAACAACCCTTGTACATGTTTATATTTATTTGTTATATCACTATATAAAATATCTTATCTTAAATTACTATATAAGTATGTACATAAAGGATATGGAGATAACGAACAGTATTCAATACCAAAGTTCATAAAACTAACAGAAGAGGGCAAACACGGAACTCCAAAACATTGGTGGGATCATGTGCCACGGAGGAGTGAGCATCCCCTGCCGATTGGTCACATCTGCTTGTGCTCCTTGTTATTATCGGGATATAACAAACAAATCCAAATAAATATACACTAATGAACATGTTTGAAGGGTATGGTGACGAAATGAATGCACGTACTAGATGTAATAAATGATGTAAATGAGTATATTTGAAATACTTGTTTTGTATGTTAACAATCGTCTGGCTTTGGCAACTCACGATTTCGTTTTTGAATAATCATTACAATAAACCCTTTTTTCCATAAAAAAAATAAGCAAATAATACACATTCAATGTATGCATTACATTGTACGTAATTAAAGGCAGTATATGTTGTCATAGGAAATGAAATAGAAAAAGAAGAAGAGAAATATTATCATCAGTGCATGAAATGCAAAGGTCCAAATGACTGCACTCATGAATTATGTTCTGAACAATTGACGGAAAGAGTACATTGCATGGAGGTATGTAAAACGTCCAGTTCATTATTCTGAATCAGGACACATCCTAGATACTGGAATGCAAATAGTTTTGTATTATCGATTGTATATGACAAATTGAATAGCTAATGAGAACTATTAACAAAAGATTAACTATCAACAGAAGAGAAATGTCAAAGGTCTTTTTTGGCTTAATCATATACAATACCCACCATATTTTCTCTCACCAAATTGAACATCTTGTTACATACACAGGTATAAACATTTCGAAATCCCGTCAAAGCTTCAAAACCTTAACTCCTTTATGGATAAAAAGTTAGCCAAAAAGTTATTTATAGTGGTTTGCACGTTAGGTTGAATAGACTTTCATAAAAAGTGCTCTGTTAAACTTCTTTAAATCCTGTAGCTTATTAACATACGGGGTGAAAAGATTATATGTAATTGCATTATAATCGTGAAAGGATAACATTATTTATATTATTTTTTTTAACTTTATTAAGAAATTATTTTTGAATCTTACAAAGATTGTCCAATTAACAAGATTTCAGGCATTTCGAAGAATGTTTCTTGATGTTTAATTTTGTGCTTAACCTCTTATTTGAACAAAAATGTTACTGTAAGTAAGTAGTATTTGATTGATTGATCGATTGATTGTATGTTCTTTTACGTCCCATTCGAGAATTTTTTTCACTCATGTAGAGACAGCAGTATCTGAGAATTACTGTATTTTACACTATCTCTTTTTTTTTTTGTTCTCTCTCTTTCTGTCTCGCTCTTTGAGCCTCCTAGTTACTCTTACTAACACAAATATTAAATTTACTTTTAAAGATTGATAATCCTGCAAGGCATGGCACTGAAAAGGACCTTCATTCGGCATCTCAAAATTCAGGAATTCGAAACTGTAAACCTAAAGGAGAGAACAATGCTTCTTCACCGAATGATCAAGACAAACCAAAAGGTAATTCTCTATTTGCTGCTCATTAGAAAGCTTTGTTCACTTTCAACTGATTCCATTGTTATGCCCCCGCTTGAAAAGCGGGAGGGTATGTAGTAATCGTTAATTCCGTCCGTCCGTCTGTACGTCCGCCCGTCCGTCCCTCCGTCCGTCTGTTACGCTTTGGGGTACCCATCTCTTATCCGCAACTCCTCTCATACCACTGAATGAAATTTGATGCAACTTTCACAGAATCTTTATTACATATTGCCATTGTGCACCTCCTATTTTACTTTTTGATCCGACACATATTTTGGGTTTCCCGGCTACAGGAAAACATGGACTTTTTCACCAGTTATAACCATATGGGAGGCGGGGGGTATCATTTAGTGAGCTCATCGCTCACAGTACCTCTAGTATAAAAAGATATACATATACATTTATATTTTTTTCAGAAGAGAGCAATGTTTACAAAATAGTTATCCCTGTAGTTGTCGTAGTAACGTGTCTTATTGGAGGATGTAGTGCAATTTTCCTGATATTGCGGTAAGGTTTGATAGTGGTTTTTTTGTTTATTCATACTTGTTGTCTTTGTTGGTTACAATCTAATTAAAATAAAATGTTAGATCCGCTCGCATACTCGCTTTACCAACATCTTACAACATCCCATTAAGGGTCATGTCAAAAGTCAAAATGTACCAACCAATCAAATCGTCGCCTGCAAAATCATCGTTTTATTGTTGAAGTGAATAAGTTTTAAGCTGTTCCGAATTTGACCTCTGACGTGTCTCTCTATGGGATGTTCTTAGATGTTAGTGTAGCGAGTATGCAAGCGGATCTAGCATCGAATTTTAATGAGATTGTGCTCGTCAGGGAATGTAATGTATTCAGTACCTTTATTTTTAGGAACTCTGATAAATTATATATAAATATAAGTCATTGTTTTCACCCTGTACAGTACGTTTTGCTTGTTTCTTCTTGAAAGATTTTCATTATTCGTGTTCTATAAGTTAATAAGTTAATGAAAGACTGAATATATTTTCATGAGATTTGTGAAAATGTATCTTTAAAATAAAAATGAATTACATGGAGGCTTGATAATGGAAGACAAAGTTTATTTTTCTTTTCATTTATTTTTGGGGTTGATTGTTTAAAAGATACAATTAACGTTTCAATTTTTATTATTATTTCTCTTCGTTTAGTCAGCCAGGTGTACACTTATTTAAATATTAGGTTGTTCATTTTGAAATTGTCCTTTAGTATAAACTAACAGGATTCTCATTGAACTGGGAGACAAGTTTTGCCTTAGATACACAGCTTAGGTTTATTCGAAAGAATATTTGTAATGACAATTACGAAGCCGATATTAAATGTATCATTATCATCAGTAGGTACCTATCTTCAAAAGTCTTTACCATGTTTAATTAGTATTAAATCACCATTTAATAAAAACAGTAGTTTCGAAGAATTTTTTTCAATTTTTTTTTTCTTTTAGATTTGATGAAGCTCTGGTAATTCAAATGATATTTGAGTGTGTAAAAAGAAACATCTTAAGTGTCTGCTGCATATAGGTACATGCCTATGGCCCCCTTTGTGAACCTTGCATTATAATTTTTTTTTCAGAAAATTTATGTTCTATAAAGAAATATGCCTAAATCCCATTTAATTTTGCATTAGGAAAAGAACACAGAAACAGTCAGCTAAAACAACAAAAAGCAGAAATAGTGAGGAAGGGTGTAAGAATCCAGAATCTAATAAAGATGTTACAGAAAATCACGACTACTTTACTCTTGGATCTCAGGAAAAATGCACAAAAATATCAAATGCTCGAAATATGGATTTTGAACATCAATGTAAAGACAATACTTATGATCACCTTCGAGGCAAAAATGCGGGGACTGAAGTGGCAAACAGAGAGAGCGATTATGATACAGCAAGCAAAACGGCAAAACAAGAATGTCACTCTACCAGGAATACCGAAGAAAATTATGATCATCTGAGAGAGAAGATTGTCAACAATGAAGACAATATAAACTCTGCTTATAGTCATATAGCACCTCATGCAAGTGAACAATCTGATTATGATGTAGCTTCTAGAATTAAAAATACTGAAATAAGCAGTATATACAGTCACCCGAACTCAAATCAACGACATCAAGGAGTTGGTCCACCAGCGACTCTAACTTTTAATGCTGAACACTAGCATTGGCGAAGGAACAGTTATTATTATTCTATGTTTAAGTTTTAGGTTAGACGCGGCGATGCATGTACTAAAGGGGATAATGTTTTTTCTTAGTGACAACTATGAGAATTCATTTTAGATTTTAAAGGAAACTAGCTTTTATTAATACTGGTATCTCCTAAATCTTAGTTATGTACAACATATGTAATGAATCTGACGCATTCTTTAGAAAATGAACACTAAAAGAAATTAAAATATTGTGAAAATACATTGGAATTGATAATTTCTTTCTTTGTCCTGCAAAAGGGAAAGAAAGTCACAAATGAGACGATTTTTGAGTATCAAAGTATCATCAGTAATTTTTAGTGCTTGAATGAAATTGAATTAAATGAAATTAAATTTTTGACCTCGTATCTATTATGGGGGCCGACTGGAGTTTTACTGTGTAAAAACTACAATGGAGAAACTCTTTGATTTCATATCATATGTGACCTCAATGTACATGCCAAATTAAGGAAAAATCTACCCTGTATTTTTAAGAGGTCGTCTATTTGACTATGGGATTATAAAGGAAAGTGACGTTTTTTGTTTTCTTTAAGCAAATTACACAAATACTACAGTATATGTTTGCTTGATCTATAATATATACTCAACAAAAAAATCCACTCATTGTTTTTACTCACTAAAGAAATTTTGAACAACTATCTTTTTTATCATTGGATACTGTAGACGTCTTAAATTTCACGTGTCTAAAATTTCACGGTTTGTTAGAAAGTTACCTTTCACGGTGGTTTAAATTTCACGGAGAATGGTTTGTAAATATTCAGGTACTATGACTGTGTATAGGTAGAAATGACATGAAATAATAATCACGATGGTTTAAAGTTCGCGGAAAATTCTAAAATCGTGAACATAGTGAAATTAAAAACACCGTAATGTTTTCCACTTCTACAGTACCTGTGATCTAATTGAAGTATAACATTGGCTTTTAAAACTCAAGTTTTGAATTATTTCCCTTGATTGATCATGTTTATGAAAGTGTTTTACATGATTTCTTGTAAATTGAGTGTCTATTTTTAATTATATTTTGGATTTAGAGAAGCTATAAACACTCCATTTAAATCCATATTTAAGATTTGATTGCAATATTGATGCTGCAATACAACGCCTAAACAAAGATGTACGCAACAAAGCTACAACGATGATACCAGCCGGAGCTACGCAACAGGAAGTTGCAACTGCATTTGGTGTACATCAATCAGTTTTGAAGCCGTTAGCGGTAAAACGCACGTACGTCTTCACCAGCTAGGAACACAGATGATAAAAAAGAACTGGTCGACTGTGGGTTACCACACCAGACACGACAATCAGATGCTATTTCGAAACTTGTGCAATCGATTCAGAACTACTGAAATCAGCATAAAGCATAAAGTTAACAATTTTTTTGAAAGAGACTGAGAGGAACTGGTTGACGGGTACGACCTCCGTACATTGGAAATCCACTAGTGCTGACACGTCGGGAGGGACATAAGGATTAGTTAAGATGCATGCCCCTAGAATTTGGATGCCATCCAATTATGGATTAGATTATCATATGTTAAATCTGATTTTGCGTATCTTTTTTGTTGAGTATATGATGAGTAGGCAATATTGCACATTATTTGTAAGAAACACGAAATTCCATCTTGTTTCCGGAGGGGGGGGGGGTCTCAAAATATCAGAAATAATGAAATTTTCTTGTTTTATAAATTACTTACAAATACGAAAGATGCAATACAGTTTCGTATATACCAAAAGTTGCAAAACTGAAGGAGAGAATCTCAAAATTATGATTTAAATTTTAAAAGTTTATTATTGTTTTAATGTTTTTTAATGATATATTCATGACCCCTTCTTTAAAAGCTTCAGTTTGTGATAACGTCATGTTAATAGCACCCTTTTACGGCATCGATGTACATGTATCTATCAGTGGAAAAAAAACAACGTTTTTAAATCAGTTATATAATTTTTTGTAAATAATTTTTAATTCCTTAATTTCTCAATTTTTTTTCATGTAAAAACTACTTCTTCAAAAGGATGTATACGCACTATTTAACTATGATGCGCGAAGTATTGTGCAATAGAAACACCACTCGATCACTGAATAAATTCGATGGTCACATTTAAATGTTGACACTCCAACATTTCAACAATTTTGTAAAATGACACAACAGGAAAAATTTGATTTTTTTTTTACACATTGTCAAGTTTAATAGATATTATAAAAGGAAATATTCTGAAAATAAGAAGAAGGCTGTCACATTTCCCTTTTAGTGAGGGAGCAGCAGTATATTTTCTTGATTAGAAGGTAAGATTATTCTATTTTTTTTTTCAAAACAAAAGCTTATTTGTGTCGAATGGAGGGCAGACAAACATTTTGGGTCACTTTACCCGTCGTATGTGTCTGTCTTAAGTACCGTCTGCCACTCCTTACTTGATCCTTAAACCATAACCATTAATATATTTTTCAAAATGGTAGTTAGTGCATCCTGATATACAGCAGATAATTGACATTTAAGAGGAATGATTACATGTACGTTCCTTGCACAGTATGTCCAAAGTATTACTTTAAAAAAGTTTACCTATACTGGGCACTCAGTACACTGAGCATGCAGAGAGAGATCATTATCATGTCAACGCATGCTGTGGCATGGGGCCTTGATTAAGAATGTCTCATCCGATGGACCCTCAACTTTAACCTGTAAGTACCTAGGGCATAGCAAAGGACCAATTGCTAACTATTTTTTCATCGACCTAAGTCAGTCCCACCCGCGATTTGAACTTACCACCTTCCGATAACGAATCGTATTTCCCATGGCGGTTTTGTTAGACTATCAAAACATAATAAAATGAAAATAGTTTAATCTAATAATTTCAATTTGATTTTTTTAACTCGGAGATTATTGGGGAAAAGGATTTATATTTTTGATTCTATTACAGCCCATAGTCGCCCGCATTGCGCAGTGATTAGAGAATTTGCTCTACAGTCGCGTGGTAATTAAGGAGTTGACCCTTACGTCGCGTGTTCGAATCCCACTATTGGGCGTGGAGACCGGTCCTTCAGATGAGACCGTAGAAACCGAGGTCCTGTGTCACAGAAGGCGCTGGACCGAAAAAGATCCCTGTTGCTCAATGACCTTTAGTGCCGTGTATTGGCTTATTTTTACAGCTCTCCGCCGACAAATTCTAAAATTCCTGAGAACGACGCAAACAATATACAATCAACCAATATTACAGTCCGGTGTAACGTTGAATATTGACCCCAGTTGAAAATTGACCCGGGGTTCATTTTTCAACGTTAAATATTGAACCAGGTGTGTTTTTTCAACGTTGAAAATTGAGACCAAAAGTCATTGAATTTATACCCGGGGTCATTTTTCAACAGTTTGATATTTTTTTTCTTATCCCCGATGACTTCAACGAGTGGAAAGTAGACCCTGTTGAATTTTGACCCAACCTATAAGAGTTTGAACATTTTTTGAACTTGGAAGTTGTTTTACTGGATGTATCAGTATCTCCATATTTATATTTTGGTTTCAATTTTTTTCCCTTTTTTAAAGAATAACAGAAATAAACCTATCATCCCGTCTAAATTTGTATATTTTGATACATGATTTCAGTTATCTTCAAGAATGACAACTTCATTTTTGACAATGTTTTCTAAAATCCACATCCATAAATAACTACATGTACAAAATCATGAATAGGGCATAAAACAAAAATCCTGGAAACCTTGTGTCTAGAAAGTGAGCCGTATATAATATTAAAGTGATCAGGTGGGCACAACATCCCATATAGTCAAATTCAGTTTAAAAATTAACAAAATTAAAAGCCTAAAAATTAGAATGAAACACATCGATCAAAATGAATCCAGTGATTGGTTATATTTGTGAAAAGATCAATATAGCGACCATAACATGTAAGTAATGCTGACTTTAAACAAGGTTTGTGAAATCCTTGTAACAAACTTATCTGTCATTAGCCTGCTTCGGCCTAAAAATCGATCGTTTTCGGAGCATAACTATGGCATGCCAAATTCACAAAAATGAGCTAAACCTAGTTTCACAATTGATAAACTAGGTTTATCGACTGAAACTAAAGTTTACATACCGTTAACTATTTTTAACGATTCGTTAAGTATAGTTTTCATCTGTAAAACTATATTTAACGGTTGTTAATTATAGTTAAAGAATGTTAAACTAAGATTAGCTGTCTATGGCACGCCAAATTCACAAAAATGAGTAAATCATAGTTTCACAATTGATAAACTAGGTTTATCGGTTGAAAACTATAGTTTACGAACTGTAAACTATAGATGACAACGTTAATCTATATTTTACATCTGTAAACTATAGTTAACGCAAAAATCTATGTTTCACAACCGTAAACTATACTTAACACCAAAAACTATCATTTGCAATTGCAAAACATAGATTATCTGATAAATACAGTTTCACGATTCGTAAACTATAGTTTACAAACCGTTAACTATAGTTAACGATCTGATAAATATAGTTTCACGATTTGTGAAACTATGATTAACAACTCTAAACTATAGTTTACGATTGTAAACTATAGTTTACAAACGTGAATCTATGTTTATCAACAAAATCTATTGTTAACGCTTATTACAGACAGATAAACTTAGATTATCATTCGTAAACTATAGTTAACAACCGTTAAATATAGTTTTACAGATGAAAACTATACTTAACGAATCGTTAACTATAGTTTATGATTTGTAAACTATAGTTTACAGTCGATAAACCTAGTATATCAATTGTGAAACTAGGTTTATCTCATTTTTGTGAATTTGGCGTGCCATAGCTGTCTGTAATAAAGCGTTAACAATAGATTTTGTCGATAAACATAGATTCACGTTTGTAAACTATAGTTTACAACCGTAAACTATAGTTAAGAGTTGTTTATCATAGTTTCATAAATCGTGAAACTATATTTATCAGATCGCTAGCTATAGTTAACGGTTTGTAAACTATAGTTTACAAATCGTGAAACTGTATTTTTCAGATAATCTCCCAGCAGGCACACAACATTGAATAAACTTTGAATCAACGTTGTTTTTCTATGTTGATTCAACATTGATTTTATGTTAGATTTTGAAAATTTGTATCAACGTTGAAGTCCTAACATTGAATCAACATTGATAATCTTCGTTGATTATATGTTGAAAAACAGTTGATT